AGAGAGAGAGAGAGAGAGAGAGAGAGAGAGAGGTCATTCGTTGAAACTGAACCGCTTACCTCAGCTTGGTCCGTGTTCTTCAGCACATAATCAGTTAGGCAGCTTGAATGGAAGGAATGCTGACAAGGGAAGACGTAGAAAGGCACAACACTTGAAGAGGCTCCTCCTTCTCGAGAAGGACTACTGCGTGCTTGTCCCTGGACTGAAGGCCCAGCTGCAGTTGTCGGTGTTCCTGCTCGTTCAACTCCCCGCGATGGCCCTGGAGCAAGAAGGGGCTTACTGCATACCTGCAAGTGTGAAAACGTTGCCAAGTGTGAAAACGTTGTAAGAAGTGTGAAAACGTTGTAAGAAGAGACGGAAGAAAACGGTTTCCAAAATTGCATGCACAGCATACTTGCAAGCAGACGGACCAGAAGAGCGTCTGGTCCGGTCTGCTTTGCCGCGTGCGGCACCCTCCCCCCGGACCAGACGGACCCGGACCGGACCGGACAGGGCCTTTTTTTTTTTTTTTTGGGGGGGGGGGGGTGGGGCATAACTGGTCGTCGGGTGCACATTCGTGCGCCACACGGGCCCGGTCCGGCGGTCTGCCGCACGTGCGGAACCGCCCAGACAGCGTCCGCTTGCAAGTATGATGCACAGGCATGGTTGAGACGGGTGAACCTAGCCCTGCATTTTTATGAACCTGGTCTTACTTCTGTCCACGTATATGCTTGAACCAGGTCCCATGCTACCCTGGAGTTAATAGGCCAGTGCCAAATTTTCAATGATCAAAAGTTGTGCTCAGGATGCATCCAAAGGTGTAAGATGGGGGAAAAAAAAAGGTGTAGGAAGTAGAAAGTGATGTAGGTAGCAAGGGACATAGAGATGGTAAGAGACATGGAGTCAGCCAAGACAGGGAAAAGAGGGGTGTGGAGTGCTGTCAAAGGCGGCCCAAACAGGACAAGATGGACAAGACGGATAGGATGAGAGTAGGGCAAGGTAGATAAAGGTGGAAACACTGGAAAGTGATGACCTGGTGATGTGTGGGGTCTTGATAGGCGGCCTGAGGAACTGTAGGGGAGGCCCCTCCCCGCCCTGCCTCCCTGAGGGCCATCCTGCTGCGTGTCTGGGTGCTGGTAGCAAGCCTCCCGGCCAGCAGGGTGTCCCCCGGAGAAAGGCCATGGTTTGGGGGGGTGGGACCCCTTTTTGCAGCTCCCCCCTTGCTAGGTGACTAATGTCTTAATCCGAAAAAAAAATGTACGTACGTTGTATTCGAATACAACGTACGTACGGGGTACGTTGTATTCGAATACAACGTACGCACATTGTACAACGAGTTTTAGCGTACAACTTTGCAGGAGCTTGCAGGTGCAATGAACTCAGTCAGATGAGAAGCTCACAAAGGTCGAAATACAAGTCTGTCACGGCGCGACATCAATGTCTCCAAAACCGTTCATGAAATCATACTGGTCGCACACTCCTGAAACCAGAGAAGAGAATGAGGAGAGAGGGAGGTGAAACAAAGAGGAGAAGTAGAGTTCCCACATGAATCAATGAAGCAGGTTCCCTCTCAAGCCCTCTTCCTCCTCGGGCATTCCCTCCCCAACTCGTCACGTCAGCAATACTGTTCTTCCCTGTCGATCTCTGACATGTACAACGAGCAGGTCGTAGCAGGGTGCCCATCCTCCTGCCATGTCAGAAGCAGCCAACGAGGATAGTGCAGATCTCCCTCTTGAAGACAATCAGCAAAGCACACGCGCCGTCACAGGTACGTCCAGGTAAGCTTCTCCTTATCCCCCATATCAATCTCAGCAGTCCAGATCTTCCTCCTCCTCGCCCACACTCCATCAACGTGGTTATGGCCACGTCAGCATAATCGCCCTCAAGGCTGGCGCCGCGCACAGAGAATTGCGCCAGCATAAACCTCTGGCAGCCTTGCGTCGATGCGCTAGCATCAAGCCAGTGTCAAGCAGAACGCACACGAGTGAATGATCTCAGGCAGGGGCTGGGTCGACTTATAATGTTGACTCACGTTGACCAGCCTCTGGTCTCCTGGGTACTGCGGCCCAGATCTCTCGGCAGCCATGGCCTGATGTAGTTCAGTTGCAGACTCCCCACGGGTCCCACTTGTGCCCGATTCTTCCGGATACCAGCAGACAACCAATGATGTGCATTCGATCTATGGCTGAGGCTGACCAGCGGGTTGACTTTGACTTCTGGGCCTGGATTCCCGAGCTGGGGTTGACCGTTGACTTTCCCAGGGTCAAGCGCTTCACGTAGGGCCTGAAGGCCAGTTTCGACCTTGCTCGGGGTACCCCATGTCATCAGGGCCTTCGTCCAGGCATTCGCATGCCTTAGGTCGCGACTTTTAACCCCTGTTCCGGGGCTTTAACCAAAAGTGACGACCCACAGCCCATGGCTATTGCAGATTTGAGCTGAGTTATTGCACAGGACCAGACATCGTTTTTATTTTTATTTTTCTCCAATTTGGTTGGGAATTACTCCAAGACCCTCAGGCAGAAGTTGTTTGTATTGCAATTTCGTACAACATAGTATTTTTTTCGTTTTTTTTCGGATTATTAAAAAAAAACAAACGAAATTCTTAAGAAAATTAAGAAATCAGAAAACACTGCAAAATGCCCTGAAAGGTCAAAACTTCAAAAGATGTTTTTAATACTTTTTATTTATTTTTCTTGAATTCGGTGGTGAATTTCGACATAACCCTCGAGCGAAAGTTGTTTGTATTGCAATGTTGTACAACAGTACAACTTTCTTTTTTTTCAGAGTTTTGAATTTTGAATTTTCTGGATTTTTTGAAAATTTTGAAACTAGCAAAAATAATGAATTTGAATACAACGTACGTACAAATACAATGCACATACGTTATATTCGACCATACTGCGAGGGTTTACCCCTCGGCATAAGGCCCTGCAGCAGGCGCGTGCCCGCCCTAAGTGAAGGCGGGGGCCCCTGAATCTCAATGTGCCCTGAACTCTACAAGTTTTGCAAATCTTGTTAGGCGCCAGACAGTTGCCACGCGCCAGTTGGTTACATCCGCTTTGATCGTGAGAATCGGAAATATACGTGAGCCTTCCAGGCTCTTCCAGCAAGGTGGTCGATACAGGGAGCACAGCACATTTGTGCCTGGGTGGTTGGGCATGCCTAACCAATTCGGTCCAAGGCCACTGTCTGAACGGGCCTGGGGCGCAGACAATTTGGCCGAGACTGAAGCTACTGGAAACTCGGCCTCACAGAGGGCACGCGGGAGGCAACGAGCCCCGCCACTTTCCAGATAGGAAAGGGCTGGGCTAGGAGGCCGACATTCGGGCACTTGCATTTGTGGCGGCAGCGCTGCTGGACCCAACGCTCACGGGCTGCTTGCTGCGCTAGCGCTGGTGCTGTGTGCGCGCGCGGACGTGCAGGGTGTAGGAAAGGGCTGGGCTACGAGCCCGACATTCGGGCACTTGCATTTCCGGGCGGCAGCGCTGCTGGAGTGAACGCTCATGCGCTGCTTGCTGCGCTAGCGCTGGTGCTGTGTGCACGTGTGGACGTGCAGGGTGTAGGGCGCTGCTGAGGGCAGCGCCATAGCCAGCCCCCAGAGACGGGCTTGGGTTGGACATAGCCAGTGGGGGTGGTGGTGGTCTTCGTGTACGGGAAGGAAGACGTGGATAGTAAAGACGAGAGAGAGAGAGAGAGAGAGAGAGAGAGAGAGAGAGAGAGAGAGAGAGAGAG